GAAATGCTGGCCTGGATGAATCACAAGCGGGAATTAAGATTGCTGGGGAAAAGATCAACAACCTCAGATATGCAGACGATACCACTCTAATGGCAGAAAGTGAAGAGGACCTAAAGAGCCTCTTGCTCAGGGTAAAAGAGGAGAGCGCAAAAGTGGGCTTGAAGCTCAACATCAAAAAAACTAAGATCATGGCATCCGGCCCCATCACTCCTTGGCAAATAGAAGGGGAAGTCGTGGAAGTAGTGACAGACTTCACGTTCCTGGGATCCCAGATCACCGCAGACTGTGACAGCAGCCATGAAATTAAAAGATTTCCTTGGGAGGAAAGTGATGGCGAACCTAAACAGCATGATAAAAAGTAGAGACATCACCCTGCCAACAAAAGTCCGCATGGTCAAAGCAATGGTATTCCCAGTAGTCATGTATGGCTGTGAGAGTTGGACTATAAGGAAGGCCGAGCGCCGAAGAATAGATTCTTTTGAACTATGGTGCTGGAGGAGACTCTTGAGAGTCCCTTGGACTGCAAGAAGAACAAATCAGTCAATCCTCAAAGAAATCAACCCTGACTGTTCCCTGGAAGGCCAGATAATGAAACTGAAGCTCAAATACTTTGGCCACCAAATGAGAAGGGAGCACTCACTGGAGAAGACCCTGATGCTGGGAAAGACTGAAGGTCAAAGAAGACGGGGACGGCAAAGGATGCACTGGTTAGGCAGTGTTATCGATGCAACAAACATGAAATTAAGTAAACTCCGGAGGATGGCAGATGACAGGAGGACCTGGCGTGGTGTGGTCCATGGGGTCGCGAAGATTTTGACTCGACTGTGCAACTGAACAACAACAATAAATAGAGCTCAGGAACACTTTAGCTAGTGCAAAATTCAGAGGCGTGCTCACTGGAATGATGTTATTGATTTCAAGCGGGCACTGGAATCCAGACACCTTATAATGGGATACCTGCCCTATACCATCCATCAACATGTACTAATAATGACAACAGTCCAAAGGTTTATTCTGGAAGGCCAGAAATCCCTTTGGAATGGCTGGGAAAGTAACAGTTCCCATTCAGAAAGTGACACACATTAAGACAAATCAGTCTTTTTTTGCAGAACATTCCGAGGAAAAAGTCATGCCTGAAGGGGCCCTCTGACGTGGGGCACGTATTCCCTTCACCTGTCGACTCAGCTCAGTATTACCGCTGATCATGTAATTTTAAAGATTTAATATGGAAAGGTGTGATATCACCTGTGCAGCAGTGAACACCCTCCACTCCTCCTCTGAGCCTGGCTACTGTTCTGTCCATGCTAAAAGAACACAGCCATGCCAGTAGACCCCAGCAAAAACCATTCAGAGTTCTTGCAGCAGCTTAAAAGCTAGCACACAGCAAAGCAAAGCCAAAATCTGAGCTACAGGAACTGTTCTGAGCAAGCTACACAGAGACTACACACAAGAACCACAAAAGGGGCAGGCAATAGAACTCTGGAGTAAGGCAAAGTCAGGAAATGAGACAGAGAGATCCTGTGACCATAAATGACATCAGCATCTCCTGAAGAGGAGAATAAACAAAGACCTAGCACTCCTGGCCAGTACAGAGGCTTGCCAGAAGAAAATACCCTGCAGCTTCTAAGACACTTTGAAGGATCAAAACTCTATGAGGACTGAGCCTTTGCTAAACTCCATGGTTACTGGGAACAGACTTCTAGTATTGCTGCCTTTAGGAACTACGTAGATGAAACAGGATTTCACTAAACAAGACCCTAAAAAAATGTGATAGATATAGCCTGCCTCCCCACAACAAATTTTATATAAGTAGAACAATGAAATCAGGAGAACACAAAAGCAACATTCAAAACAACTGCGCAGGCAAATTGCTAGAGAAATATTTTCTGGAATTACAAGTCAGGGTATTTTATTGGGGGGGGCAGTAGCGGTGGTACTTTCTAGGGATGCAAAGGCAGCCTTTGGGATACTTCCTGAACTCCCACAAAGGCTTAAAGAAAGCTTTAACTTCTCCTTTGACCGATATTTTTTCCTTCTTTATTAAAATATTTTTAGCCCTCTCCCCACTCCCAAAGTGGCTGACACCTGGATAAAAACCTCAGCTACAAAATACAATATACAATAATGCAAATCGAATAAACACTGATTACAGTTAAAATTGCAACCAAGCAACACATGTTCCTGTGTGAGAAACCCAGACTAACAGCAGAAAAGGATAAAGACCATCAGACTTCCGGTCGATGGAACAGCGATGGCGGACGCTCTCCTCACAACAGAGGAGGCCGAATCCCACACCAGCGGCCTGGAGGGGTGCCACCTCAAGTGACACCCCCGCGGAGCCTTTGTGATAGGCTCCAGGCCAGGGGGCTTTTGAGGGGTAGCCTCTTCGATGGCGTAATGCTGGAGAATTGAGGCTCCCCTTCGCCCCGACAGCCCAGTTGCCGAGTGGCTTTCGGGCATAAGCTGGACTGACCGGGACAAGCGCTGGAGATCGAGCGGAATGGCGTAAAACCGAGTGTGGTCAGATAAACTGGCCAACAATGAACGTGAGTTCTGAATAAAAACTGAGTAGTTTGAAAAGCGATCCCCCCCCCACGATTGGAAGCAGAGATTGCAAAGAAGGACGCCTCTTTTGCAAATGAGCGGTTAAGATACAAAGGGGGAGAGGGGAGGAAGTAAACCGAAAGTGTTTTGAGAGACTTATCTGAACTGTGAAGTCGTTTGGTGAGTTTTCCGAGTTGTGGGGAAGCGGCAGAAACTGTAAACAAAACGGGAAAGATGGCAGCCCAACAGAGAAAGTTTAAAACAAAGCCGGGCGGGCAGAGTCTGAGACCAGAAGAGGGAGCAGATGTCCTCAAACTCCTGGCGGATATGCTCAAGCCGGTGATGGAACAACTCGATGGTATTAACCAGCAATTAACTGTGCTGAATAAAAACTGCGGCACAGCAGCTTCAGCTGAACGAGACAGAGAAAAAGTGAAGCAGGCAAACGAAAAAATTAAAGAGATTGACACCACAAGTAAGAAGTTGAAGAAAAGGATGGGAGAGGTGGAAATGAAGCAGAATTGCCAAGAGAATCGAGTCTTGCAGCTTCAGATGGAAAAAGCTAACATGATTCTCAGGTTTCAGGGGGTTCCTGAAACGGACCAGGAAGACTTGAAGAGGGTGCTCAGTGAGATCATCGCTCCAGTAGTAGGCTTAACAGCGGATGAACTGGTAAACAAAATGGAGACAGCCTAAAGGGCTTACTCCAACTATATTAAAAAAAATAGCCTACCTGGAGAAATAGTG